TCTCAAGAACCTCATTTCAGCATTTAAGTTTTATGCTTCTGTGTGTTAAAACAATTTTGACATGCAATTTTTTAAAGTGTAATTTCTCCGCATTTTGAAATTTTGCTGCACAAATAGTTTTTTCTTTAAATTGTAAAAAAAATGTAGCAACTGATGCAAAACTCTAAAAAGCGCACTGCATCGCTAAGTATCTACTTAATATAGTATCTACTTAGTATCTGAATTTATTATTTAATGTTATTAACCCAAAATGACTTGCAATTCAAATACGAGTGTAACTATAAGGCAACGCTTGCCGCTTGCTTAACACGAAAATATTAAGTTACTCAAGAAAGAACGTCCAGTCTTTCTTATAAGCTCTTTAAGTATATAAATAAATCATGTATATGTGTTTATTGCATATATACAATCTGAGGTATAAACAACTGCAAACGGTAAATATAAAATTCGCATGATTTAAAAAAAAAAAAAATTTTTCTTTCTCCCAGTACGATTTTGTATTAATGAGTTCTGTTAGTTGTACGATTTTCTTTTATTTTTCATTTCGACCAGAAAGTATCTGAAACAATGACCCACACTTGGTTAAGAATTCGATTTTTTCGCCTTCTTGGATTTGGTTATTAATGTCTGGAATTGTGTATATGAGTCATTAACTTATTAGTTCACAGTTTATTTTACACATTTCCGAAAGTCTCTTACAAGTAATTAAGAAACTTAGAAGTGAAAGAAAAAAAAAATGAGGAAATAATCTTTTCCTTTCCAAAAAAAAAACTAAATTCTGGCGAAATTTGTTTATTTTTTTCTTTATATTTTATGTTGTATTAAAGAAATTCCTACTCAATATTATTTATCAATGAAACATGACGTCACATAACTAATTCAGATTTAAACTGTAATTTGTTTGGTACGTGGAGATAATTTAATATTATCAGTAAAAAAAAGTTTGACTAAACTGAACATTTTGAGTAAATATAATTTGAAAAAATGAAATAACTAGCCAGTTCAAGTTCAATTGCCTTATGTCTTTCTCACATAAATGAAATAATGAAATAAACTTTAAATTCAATTTTTAAGCATACAATACATATATATGTTTTCTTGAGATAGAGTTACTCACTTACTTAAATAGTCTCGTACGTCAAGTACGATTAGTGCTCCCTCAACTTGATCACTGCACTGAAGACGTGGTATAACTCTACGCCTTGTGCTTTTAACTATCACTTCAAACACCTTTTCACTTGACCATTTTCACTCATTTTGTTTTGGGAATTAACCAGACAAATCACTTCACAAACTATGAACGACCATGCACAACCATCCATAGATTCGAGAGAGCTTTAAATCTATATTAGACACTTATGTTCCAACCTTGTAAGATTTTCCATTTTGAGTCAAATTAAGCCGCAGGCTCCACTCTTGTTGGTGCCCATCCGTCAATTCCAGTCATACTTCCACTGAAACTCAAATGCTTTGTTTTCCTGGTAAGCAACTGAGAGAGCTATAAAAGTAGCTGAGACCGTTTTGGCAATATCTGATCGAATTCAAGTCTAACTTTCGTTCCTGATTAATTAAAAAATCTTTAGCAAATGCTTTCGTTTAAATTAGACTTACGACTGTGTAAGAATTGCTTCTATGAATCATTACCGGTTCAAATATCACTTAACTCGAGCCTATTCATCCATTTTCACGACATAACCAATCCAGCGAAGCGAAAATGTTAAATAGCTGAGTTAGTTCAAAGCCGTAATAAAGCCCATAAAGTTCGTGGTAGCTATAGGTAATTGAGTCAACCAATCTATTCGAAATATTTTCGATTTTTAAGTTTAGTACCTCAGTCACTTTTTCTTCTATAATTTTAGTAGACGCAAATCCGTTCAACGAATGTCGAACTAGTAAATTCCCATAACATATCAATTCACTAAATATTGAAACAAATTTTTTTTATATGAGACCTCAAAATACATTCTGAAAGTTTGCCCGTTACTAGTGCCTAAGCGAAAGGTGGGCATATCCTATTGGATATGAAATAAGAGTCTGTAATGTTGGTTCAATATTACAATTAATAGAGGAAATTTAATTTTATAAAGATTACGACATCTTAAAGATTACAATTTCTAACTCTCTGTGCAATTCCTCCAATATAACAATAATAATAATGATGTGAACCGACACTTCACCAGGTTAATGGTCAGAATTGTCATGGAAACTACGAAAAGAGTTCGCTATCAAGAAATAGTGAACCACAGGTCAGCGGTACTCTTCCTTGCAAAATATATGGAATATATTCGTTATATATTTCAGGTGCGTACGTAAGAACTGTTTTTATATATAATAGTACAGTACACAAGTTTTTCCAGACCACCCAATATCATTAATTTTGACAACCCAATTTGATAAATTGATAATTCAATAATTTGAGACAAGTCTGTATCTTCCTACTTAAATTCAGTATATGTACGTGAAAAAGTTTCTCAATTACTATAAACTGTTTCATAAATAATATAATATGTAGTTGAAAAATATGTAATTTATTACTGATAGCAAAAAAGTCCGTTAACAGTTACCACTGTTCCAGAAGGTATGGCCACCTTTGCTCATACGTATTGCCGGAAAGTGTGCTCTGCATATAAAATTAAAAACTTTATTAAACATTTACCACCTGAAACACGTACGTATACTCGAGTCCAAATTTTTATGTAAAATAAATAAATAATTTTAATTAAAAATATTCATTTTATCGCATTTATCATTAAATAATTTTCAAAAATGAATAGTTTGAAACGGTTTATTTGAAAGTGAAGTGCGTCGTCTCCGTGAGGTTTAATTTTATTAAAATATTATTTAATAGTTTTGTTTTGTAACAATAATAATAATAAATTATTTAATAAAAATTTTTAAAATTTATTTGATTTAATTGAATTAAAAAAATATATAAAATGGTCAAGCCTAAAAAATATTTGAAAAATAAATTTAAATCATTCTCAATATTTCACAAAAAACAAAGTAAGTTCAGTTAAAAACGATTAACTCATGTTTCATGAAATCTTTTGTAACTTTAACTATGGCACTCACACTTAAGCCCCTCCAGCCAGCATATGATGAATCTCTTCCATTATCTTACAGCGTCAGCGTCATAATGCACTGCACACATAAGTCAATGAGCAAGTATTGTGTGTGACTTTTACTTTGAATGCATTTCAGTGATTACGTCTCACGAACAATGATGTTGACGTACTGTTTTAATACTCATATCTCGTGCTTGTGACAGTCTATGAAATGCTAGTGGGCACAATTACAACTCCCCGGAAAGTCGCCCACTTAAGCACAAAAAGTAATTATGTTGCAAGTGCCGTCATTTGCAACAATAATGACAACAACTAATATAAGAAGCTTCATATTGTATTCCACTCCATTCAAAAAGTTCATGTGCAACAAAAGCTCAAAAAAATTACGTAGATTACTGTAATCTCGAAAAGGAACATGCATGCATGGAGCTTAAATCTCATACGCATAACGAGTAAGAATTACCTTTGAAAAGAATTACCTTCAAAATCATAATGTAGTTGCTTTAAAGTGCGAATAATTGTTATATGTTCGTATGTATACTGTATATATAAATTGATATGTGGTATATGAAATAATAATAATAATTATTATTATTATTATTGCTAAGGAATGTGGAAATGCGACCGTCAGATCTCTTATGCCCCTTCTATGATTAGAGCAGGTCTCTAAGCCCTGTTGTGTCAATAGAAAGTAATATGGAAGCTACTTTACAGAGTTTTATTGCCTCTTCCGTAAGGGTATACACAAGTTTATTCTATTTGTGCCTTAGCGCAGGGCATATAAAGTGATAGTTTTTGGTTGAACCGTAAATATTGTTCAATAACATCTTAATCAATACTTAATAGTATGGGATTAGAAAATTCCGTTCAGATCGTACTTGTTGGAATACTCATAAAATTACGTTTGAGACCCAGACTATTTGAGACCTATTAGATGATGTTTAGAAATATAGATAAAACATGTAATTTATTTCATTTTTATAATTAATTCATTACTAACCCATATGTCATTGATCTACAACCTTAAAAATTGAAATAATACGATTAGTATTAGTTTTACCAAGATAGAAGTCATTAAAATCAGTATACACTTAACTAAATTATTACCAAAACCTACTCACTGCTCATTAAAATGACAAGGTACTTAAATACTAATTATAATGCGTATACGTATATCTGGCTACACTTTGTTTGATATTGAATGCCAAGATTGTGTCTACATTGGCTGGACATAGGTAAGATTTTTGTCCGCACTCTCAATTTTTAACCTATATATACAAATTTTTGTTCGCAGTAAAATTCGAACCTATTATGTATTCGATTTCGAATATAAAAAATCTTGTCAAACTCTAGGTAGTATAGACGCCGAATTATTTGCGGGCCAATTTACTATAACGCTGCGCTGCATATAATGATATGACCGAGATCTAGTTCTTACAAGATTTTCCATACTTTTGTTTAGTAATTCTGCAATATTCTCAAAATGAACATTCAAGAGGTTAATACTTTAATTACTGATTGACTATCAATGTAGATACAGATATAGGCTTCCTTTAACCATTTAGTAAAGTTGACAAGAGCGCAGATCTCGATGGCGTGTGTTATGCCACATTTTCTCTATGTTATTTTCACTGTCAAATATTGGCAGTATAATGAAAACAGGTAGTCATATGATGACATTTCATTTGACACACCAGTCAATTATGATTGTTATTTAAAATTAAGTGAAAACAAGGCTTTAACCTTTAGCCTCTTAGGACGGTTTTCATCGCTTTCTGTTCACTTAACTAATTGTTGTTTTGACCTCTTCAAAAATTATGTAAAATTCTATAGTTTGTATATATATATATCCCACATAGCTTATTTGTATAAAATTATACTAACACATCGTGCTTATTAACATAACTGTAATTTCTTTGAAACAATTGGTATTAATCTATTTGATAGTCTTTTATTAATATTTCATTAAAATTCTATCAGATAATATTAATTATGAACAAAAAAATATCTATCTCTTATCATATAATCATTCTACTACCTTGTGCTGATAATGCATAAATCAATAAAAGTATTCGACTTATACCTCAACGAAGAATATTTAATTAAACTTTTGTTACTGTATTCTGTTTTTTTTTCGATAAACGTACATTTACTCCACCTTTAGGGAGAATTGGTATACCAAAATTATCGATTTCTATTTCGCAGTAATTTTCCCGTAATTCGATATCAAAATTAGTTAATATTTGAGCTATGGCTACTTTTGCATTAAGTCTGCCCATGCGTTGAGCTAAAATCAAAAAATCGTTTTATGTAATAAATATGAACATTTGTGAACGTTTATAAAAACGGTTTACTACTCACCTATACAGTGACGTGGTCCCTCACCAAAAGGCATGTAAGCGACAGAATTATAGTTCATATTTTCCTCTAAAAACCGTTCTGGATCATACCTCATTGGATCAGGAAAATACTCTGGATCACGATGCATGCCGAATAATGAGATTATTATCGCTGTGCCTTTTTTAATAACCATTTTTGAATCCGGTATTTGATAGTCCTCTGTACATTCACGATTTAATATGGGTAATCCAGGATATTTACGTATAGTTTCTACAAATATTTATTATACTATTTAGTTCTGACTAAAATTATATTAACTTGAAGTTAAATTTACCCATAACACACAAATCTAAGAATTTCATATCCTGTACACATTCATAACTCAGTTTGCCTTCATACTTGCGTAATGTTTCCTCCACATCCTTTTTCGCTTTTGCTAAGAGTTCCGGATATTGTGATAGTTCGTAAATTGTAAAAGCAACTGTGGATGCTGTTGTCTCATAACCAGCCACATAGAACAGGAACAATTGTGCAGCTATCAATTCCACAGACATAGATTTAAAAGCACCTATATAAAGAATATAACAAAAAATGTTTCTTCCCTAAAATGTATAGTAAAAAAAGTAATATTTACCTACTGATGTTTCTACGGACCATTCATTATCGTCAGTATTTATCTTGCCAGTATTGCGGAGTTGTAGTAATAATTGTAGCATATCTCGCCGACTTACATTATTTTTTTCTCTGTGTTCAACAGTTTTTCGTACGATTTTCTTCATTGTTTCTGGTGCTTCCTCAGTCCAACCCAACATAACAAAAAACTTTTCTAAACTGAAATTGGAAATTATATTTTTGATTTATAATAGTTATATTTAAGCTAATAGTCTCTCTCACCTTGGGTATAAAAATTGGCATGTACCTCTAAAAACACTTTTATAAGTCGGCTCACTAGTTTTGTAGCTTACATTTCGGAATACATTGTTCGGTTCTTTGAAACTATTTGTCTCTAAACCAAATATAACTGAAGCAATTATATCAATTGCATATCT